AAATCTAACGCCTCACCAAAAGCCCTATCGTTAAATAAATTTAACACCACTGTTTCACGAATTTCATTATCAGTTAGCGACTGACTCGCCATACCACTCTCACAACTCTCATCTTGTAGAACTTTTCATCGACTAGCTTGGGCAGATTTTGATACGGTACATAATGTATCGCTAATATGATTCAGGTGTCAACTTAGACACATGCAGTGTGATTCTTATTGTGCATGCAGTTTTGGTTTCTCGATCCCTTTTTTGTGCTTTGAGTTTGATGGCCTTTTGGTGTTGTTTGAATGTATCCGTAGCACTTGATTTTCGTGTCTCCTCAGGTTTTGTAGTTGGGTATGTCATCATAAAACTCCAATTTTCCGTCGATACTTGATGTGATGACCTGATATCCGTGTTGTATCATCATACTTCAGATTTTTTGGCGTGGCAGAACTCGTGAAAACCTTTGCGAAATGTGGAAGTTTATTGGAGCGTCTGTTGCTAGTATAAGAGGACATATCACCATTAGAATTGTTGTTTTGCGAGAGATGTTAATATATAAGATTTCTAGCCACTTTATGTCACGTGATCGAAATACCAGCCACATGAGATATAAATATCAAAAATGAGAGGTACAAATATCAATTCCCTAGTTATAAATATTAATAATTTTAAGTAAATATAGTTTTAAAAAAATCTTAATTTGAAAAAACTCCAAAAGTAATTATTTATTAATTTAGAGAATTGATGCTTATTTAATAATTTAGATTTTTATTAAGCTTTAATTAAAATAGGTTTTTGATTAGTTAAATATAATTTAAAAAATATTTGAAAATTAAATATTAGAAATAAAGATAAAATTAATAGTTTTTTTTTTTTAATAATATTGTGTTTATAATAATAATTTTTTTATTGTTTTTGATTTTGTTATTGTTTTTCTATATAATTCTATATTGATTTATGAATTTTTATTTTATTATATATTAATTCAAAAAGCTTATTAGATATTTGAGTAGTGATAAATCCAAAAGTTTATTTTTTAAAAAATAGAAAATTTTATATTAAATATTAATTTAAATATTAATTTATCAATAATAAATTTGTAATATTATTTATCAAACAATTTTAATTAAAACATAAAAAAGAATTTTATTATTAATTTTGAAATAATTATATATTTTATAAGATGTTTCTATTTATTCAATCAAATTAAATAAAATTATATTATATAATTATATAATAATCTTTAAGTTATAAATACAAAAAATTATAGAAGTATACTATAAATAATCAACTATTTGTTAATTATTTCTATAGCTATAATTTTTTATTACTTTAATAATTTAATATTTCAATTACATTTTATATTGGTTTATATAAATAAGATAAAATAAAATCAAGAAGTTAATAAAAGATGTAATATAAAAAAAGTTATTAAAAAAATAGTTGAAAAATAAAAAAAAAGAAACTAATAATAAAATTGTTATTCTATTATTTAATTAATATTCTATAATATATTATATTGGAAGTTATATAGTGTATAGCAAAAAATTTTATAATATCATATTTATTATTATAAAGTTATAGAATATTTTATTTAATTTTTAATATTATCAAAAAAGCTTTAAAATTCAAAAAATTTTTAGTATAATAATAAGAATTAGCAAGTCAATTACTTGTATATAGGTCTGATTATGCACATTATATAGTAATTAAATAAACATATTTTGTATTATTTAACTATTTTATTTGTATTATTACTGACACTTTTTTTTTTCTTGTAGGTAAAAGAGGCAATTAGATTTGATTGATCTTCATCTGTTGATTATATAATCATAGGCAAAGCAAAATTTAATTCTGAAAAATAAAACATATAGAATTTATTATACAAATAAAATTAAATATCAAATTAGCATAGAATTTATTATACAGATAAAATTAAATATCAAATTAGCATACAATTACTACTTTTATTATTAAAAAAGTTAAATATATTTATATATATTTTCATTATTTCAATTATTTCAATTATTTTAATTCTAGGTATATATTTATAATTTTTTAACACCATTTAATTATTATACTAATTTTAAAAAAGGTTTTAAATAAAAATTAAATAATTATTATAGGTAAATTAATATTTAATTCACTGCAAATTTCACATGTAAAATGTTGTTTTTTTTCAAATATATTTCTTGCAATATACAAATAAATAGGGTTCCAAACTGAGTACCAAAATGGTACCAACTTGGTACCAACTTATAATAAAGTTAATATATGAATTGTGACTCACTATATTAAACTCATAGTAAATTCAGTACCAACTTGGTCCTACAAATAAATAAAGAAATAATGTTTACTTATATTAAAAATAAAACTAATATTGAAGATTTTATTAAGATAATTAAAAGAACTTTGTATAAAATAAATATATTTCTTTTATTACTAGTTCAAAAACTACTTGTAAATAATCAATAATAAAAAAAATAATAATAATAGTTTTTATTATATTTGAAAAAATTTTAATATAAGATATGTATAAAAATATTTATCTTAAATAATTGATGAAGATAATTATCTTAAATTAATAAAACTATTAACAATGAATTTTAGAAATAAAATTAAGATTCCATCTAATTAACTAGTTAGTCTTGTAATTTCAACTTGATTAAATATTTGTAATTTGAATTGGAAAGAAAATTAAGAAGTAGATTGTAAAATATAAAAAATTTTAAAAAATTGAAAATTGAATTACATAAAGAATAAAGTAAAATTTAGAAAAATCAATTAATGAATTATAATGAAAGTATATCACAAAATATAGAAGCAATAATTAAAAGACCAACAATGTTGATTTATATAAAGATAAAATGTGATATAATAAATTTTAAATAAAATTATAATATTAATTCTGAGAATTAAATAAAGTCATGCCTTTCGTCTTTAAAAAATATAAAAAATAACAAAATAAATTTATTGTATAATATACACATATATGCTGTATATACAGTATATTATATATATGGATAATTATTTTCGAAGGCAAACCGGAAATTTTCTGACATGATCCTAAAATTTATATTATATACAGTATGTATTGTTTAAAAGTTGGATCCGAAAAAATCATATCTAGCATTTTTGTCGCCTTCAAAAATAATTACTCATATCATAAAAAAAGCAATAAACATTTCTACTATAATGATAAAAATAATATTATCGTTAAAGGTTATGATGCAAAAAAATCTATTTACTTTCTTGAAAGACAGGACAAGATAAACTTTAATTCATTAAATGACACCAAAACCGGAAATAAATCCCGATCTATGGAAAGGCATGACATAAGTATACATCTGAGTACAGTATAGGTGTTATTCGGAGAAAACTGCGGAGAGGTAAAAATTTCTTCCGTTCACTCCGTAACAAGAGGTATTATTTGTCAATACTGTACTTCTAGGAAAAGCAATATGACATAGTTTATGATTTACAATTACAAAATTAGCAAGAACAAAATGTGAAATTAAAGTTGTAGTCACTAAATTCTGTTTTTTTAAAAAAGAAAAAGGCCTATGTGTTTTTGACTACGCCCTATAAAATTATAGATGTGTTAACAATTACGTAAACAATTGTTCAGGACTTTGTCAATAAATCGCCTAAAATTGATACAATTACGATGGATCTGCATAAATATTGCGCACTTTTTAACAAAGCAAAACGATAAATTGCACGTGCACGCTTTTTTAAAAACAAAATAAATTCAAGGTTAGAGGGCGTTGTATTTGATAGGAAAACTTAATTACTCAAACCTAAATCAAATACAAGATGAGTTATTGCGCTTATTTTTGTGTAATTGCAGTTGGGAGCATTGCCCTTTGCATTGGAGCCCCCGGCCTTCTTGCACTCGTGGGATTTAGTTCAATCGGAGTTGTTGGAGGATCGCTTGCAGCAGCTGCCCAGAGCTTTCTTGGTCTGGTGGCTGCCGGGTCTCTGTTTTCCTTATTCACCTCAGTTGCCATGAAAAAATAAACGATGCATTATTAGAAACTCATCATTCTTCTTCTGTGAGTATCTTGATGATTAATCTAACAAGATTTAACTTTCTGTTTATTAACGGTAGATTCATACCATAAAATTCTCGTTTCTTATTGGTTTTGACTTTCAAAACAACATATACAGTAGATGTTATATGATGTTCGTTCTTAAAATGCACGATAAAAAATTTCCTTTCTTATATATTATTACGTCTCATTCTTCGTTATGTAATATTTTGTGTGTGTGATATTTCCATACTTTTCTAAGCCAAAAAGCTTATTTTTTAGTCTTTTTCTTACTCCGGTATATATAGAAACGATTCTACAAGCCTCGAGGGTGTTTCCACATTAAAACGAAAATTATAAATCAATTAACTTAATACTAAATATTATTCTCACTCGGATCTTTACTTATAATAATATATGGAAAAACGATATGGGATAGTGCTATTTTCTTATGAGTCATATTCTACTGTAATTGAAATAATTTATAAACTCTAATTATCGCTTTCCTAATCACACATTTTTATAACTTCTTATGTTCTTAATATCACGCAATCACTTCTATTCCTCCCGAAGTCAATATTTATTATATGTTTTTGGGATCGGTCATCCTTTTCTTTTATAAAATTTTTTATTCAGTATTGCTATATTCAAAAAAAATAATAAACAATTGAGAACTGGGCTCATAATGATAATCCTCGGTAATAATAATTACAAATGGATATACAGTATTTACGAAGGTTGAAAAGCAAGTCACCAAGTCGCTTCAAATGATTAGCAAAGCAGGTTTTCAAGCAATTATGTCCTTTCATCGCTTATTCACTTTTATTCATTTATTTTTGGTTTTCCTATAAACGTTTATAGAAGTTGAAAAAAAGTTACCAAGCCAGCGTATTGGTTAATAAACAGTAGGGATATTAATTGGTCTTAACCGGTCTCAAAGAAATTATGTTTTTCACGTGATTTACTAGTTAAATATGTTTGTAATAATTTTTAACCAAGGTTGCTTATTGGAGATAAATGAAGATACTTTATTAAAGTCTAAAATCTCATAAAGTAGGGTATTTGGATCACATTCCTAGGATTGATCTTTCAACGGCTCTAACAAAATTACTGCTTTTCTAAATAGAATTTCATTTAAGCCATTAACAAAGCATTCTTATAGTTATTTTAATAATAATTATTTATTAAAGATATATTATGGATTCATTTAAAATTCATAATTTTAAAATTTTCTTTTTTAATTAATATTCCTAGTAAGCAGACCTCCTTAAATATTTGTCTTATTTTCTCAATCATTACTATTGCATATTTTTATTTAATCTTATCTCTTGTAAAAAGTGAAAGAAATTTTATATAAAATCAAATAGAAATTAATTAGCAAAGAAAATAATTTTTCTTTTACATATTTTGATAATTTATTTATTGATTACATAATTAGTGATTTTTGTAATACTTAATAACTCTTGTGTAATTTATTCCATGCTGTCCAAGTGTCTATTTTTATTGATTTAATTGAATCATACAGTATATTAAATATTTTAAAAATCAGTTTTAAATTCTTCAAAGATAAAAAAAAACATAAAAAGTTTTCCTATTCCTCTTTCTGTGTTTGAAAATTCCCTTTTTAGGAAATTTTTAAGTTGTTTACTTTTTTTTCGCTTTCCCCTTTTCCTTTTTCTTTACTTCCTCTCTTTTATATCTCTTTATTCTCTCTTCCCTATTTTCACCCTTCTTTTCTATATACTCTTTTATATACTTCACCTATTTCTCTTCCTTTTTCCCTTTCTCTGCTAAAATTACATTTTTTCTTTTTTCTAAAAGTTTTTTTTTTAGGTTTCTCTTTTTTTTATAAACTTAATTCTCTATAACATTACTTCTCTGACCAGTTAACTCTTTTTTTTCAAAACCATATTCAAAAATGGTAACTTTTTTCAAGACATAGACTTCATAAATTTTTTCTCTTTTATGACTTTACAGAAAAAGAACATATAGTTTATTCCTTCCAAAATATCAACATGGTTATTATTACCAAATCCAGTATTATTTACTTGTTGATAGTTAGACTAGATATATCTAAAAAACTGATATATGTACATCTATTATTATTTGAAAGTATCCAAGAAGTTGTGCTCTACTATATTCAGAAGAATATAACAGTCAATATCAATTGCAGCTAATAATAAGCTAGGTTAGTTTACAGATATCATACTAATAATTGGAGAAATTTAGTAGAATAATACATAAAAACTAAAGATTCTAATTACTATTGCAATATGAGCTAATAATAACAATAAAAGTTTCTCATTTACTTCTTCAACAATGTAGGCTCATTTTACAAGGTTAGATATTAACACTTTTAAGAAACATTAACCTCAATACATGTCTAATACCCTCCTTAACAAACTACTGTTTTATATTCAAACCTCTTTTATACTCTCTAATTTTAGCTTATATTAAATTTAGAACATACCTTTTAAAACTACTTTAATAGTAAGATTAATTGCTACTTCCCAACCTATAGTCCTAGTAATGAGTTCAAATAGGTGTCAATGCTAGGTGCAATTGGCAAAAGATTAATATTGCATTAGAATTGTTTTGATAATAAAATCAGTTGCCACTCTTCAGTCTTTAATTCTAATAATGGATTTAAATAGAAGGTCAATGCTAGGTACAAATAGTGAAAAACTGATTTTACTTTAGTGTAATTTGAATTTAGTATAGTATAAAACTAACATTTACTTTGCTTGTTATATATCAAGTTACATTTGAAAAGCAAGCATATCAATTCTAGTCATAACTTGAAGGCAAATCTATATATAATAGCTGCAGTATCTTTATATAATTAAGTAATCATTTTTCTCTAGGTAGCTAAACACTATTCAAGATATAATGTAGGTTTTGAAGTTCTTTTTTCTATATTCTTAAATAGTACCAAGCTACACAGAGAATAGATCACATTTGTGAGGCCTTGCATTTAACTTTTTCTAGCAAAAAGAGATGTACTGTATATTATACTATAAATATGTTATAAATCTTGTACTTGCAAGTTTAAAATTATAATAATAAAATAAAGTATAATTATCTTCGGCTCCTTCAAAAATAAATAAATAAATAATAAATTCTTCAAAAATTTTGTATTGAAATTTTTTATTAATTATTAAATTAACTAAAAAAAACATTTATTTTAAATATTTTTTATAATCTTTTCTTTAATTCTTTTTTCTTTAAAAAAAAACAAATGTCTACTATGTTTATTTTTATTTGTTATACTTTTTAACTTATAAATATAAGATTATAATTTCAATAATATAATATATATATAAAACTATTTCCACTTCCCCTTCTGTACTTGAAAATTTCTTTTTTAGAAAACTTTTGAGTTATTTACTTTTTCTTTTGCTTTTCCTTTCCCTTCTTCTTTATTTCTTTTTTTCCATATCTTTTTATTCCCTCTTTCCTATTTTCATCCTCCTTTCTATATACTCTTTATATAAAATTCATCTCTTCTCCTTTCTCTTTTCTCTTCTCTACTAAAGTTAGGTTTTCCCTTCTTTCTAAAGGTTTTCTTTTTAGGCCTTTC